CTAGTTGCTGGTGGAGTTCAGATTGTTAGCTGAATGTCCCTGGAGTATCAGTCACTGCAATACCACACTGTTATTTTCACTGCTTTCCTGTGTCTGACAATCTCCAGGTACCCTCTGCTGTTGTTCTGTCCTCTCCGATTAGTGAATGTGTCCTCTCTGCTTCATCCTGATTAAATGTTTTTCCATCTGTTTAAACGTGTCCTTACCCTAGTTGGCCATCTTGATTCCGGTTTTTCATTTGTTAATGCCTATTGGGTTGCTTCTGTTTTCTGTCTGTTGTGTATAATGCAGCTATCATTGTATACAGCATCTCTTCAATACCCTTTTTTCAATTCTTTCTGTATTATTCCCAGATCTCGGATTGTCAGATTATAGGAAATTTTTTGAACACTCATCACTCTGTCTTGATGCCTCTAGAGTTTGCTTTTTCGTATTTTGGACCCCCCTCCTTTTTTTTTTTTTTTTTTGGTGTAGCCATTCTAATGGAAATGAGATGATAGCTTCTCTGTGGTTTTTAACTTAAGTCACCTAACAAATAGTTATGTTGAATTTCTTCTTCATATTTTGTTCATTTGTATGTCTCTTTTTTGTTATTTTTAAATATCTATTTTATTTATTTATTTATTTTTACAATCTTTATATAGTTAATTAGGGTAAAAAGGTTCAAGGGCTACAGGACAGTGGATAAGACTAGTATTTTTTTCCATATTGTTTCCTTCATGTTTAAAGGGGGTATTAAGGGGAAAGGCCCACCCAGTTTCCTACCCTCCCCAGGTCCCAGATGTAGGGCATGCTCTGAGGTTCTTGCTCAAGTGGTTTTGTTATTTCAACAGTTATGAATCACTGCTAATCTTGCCACTCCAAGCACTATGAGGTCTTTGAAAAATCCACTGAATGACATAGTCTATCATAGCTGAGATGGTTGGTTGACCCGTTCTGTCTTCTCTCTTTTCTTCGTTAGGGTTCTGACTCCAGCATTTAGATTAGGAAGATCTCCAAAGAAACTTTTTGTGTGTGCTAGCAACTACAGGGCCCGGTACAGTCCATCACCCTGATCAGCTGGTGGTTGTAATTGCTGGGTTGGTTCTGTTTTCCACTCCCGACTTCCACTGGAACCAATGGGTGTTGCAGTCCAGCCTGGTTCTGCCCAGCACATACTTGGCCCTCACATAAACCAGTGGGAGCCTAGTTGGAGCAACCCGCAATAACCCCCACCAGGCCCGCCCCCTACCCTGGATTGCCAGTATGTGTAGCAGTAATCCAGCCTGTTCCACACCCCATTCCACCCCAGCCGCTGTCTTAGTTTTATGTCCTCCGGTGGAAGTGGTAACCCAAGGGGGATGAGCCCACTATTTCCCTCCCAGGCCTCTCCCACTCCCAGATTCCAGCTGATGCTGTGGCTAAGCCCAGACAACCCTTGCCCACTCTAATTTTGTCTGCATCAGTAGGAATAATCAGCCCAGCCTGGCTTTTCCCTGATCCAGGCCACTTGAGGCGCACAGGTGTGGTAGCCCTGCCTAGTCTGGTCTGCCCCCATCCCAGCCTGTGCTCTCCTGCAGGAGTAGCTGTCCAGCAAAGGAACCCTCCCTTATTCCCCTGCCGGCTCTGCCCCCTCCCTTCCTGGTCCTCATATGTGCTGGTTGGGCGCTGTGGTCCCTTCCGGTACAGGCAACCTCACCTTGGCATTCCGTATTGTGCACTAGTCTTTGTTGCGACTGAACCTGGCTCGACCCACACTCTGTTCTGTCGTTTGCATTTACCAGTGGATGACCTGGACAGATTCAGCCTGGTCTTCCCCCATGCCAAATGTATGCCAGTGGGACACTTTCCATGGCCTGTTCTGGGCTGTTTCCTATCATGTTTCTTGCACTTACCTGCCGGGTCTGTGTCCTGCCAGAGGAGTTGCCCAGGCTCCTCCATCAGAACCTCTCCCAATGCCAGGTTTCACGCTTACCATTGGGTCCATAAGCCAGCCCTACTCAGTCTACCTCCTGTCCTAGCAGGAACTGTGGCTTTTCCTGACTGGCCTTCAACCCAATCTGGTTCTTGTTGTTGGATGTTTCAGCCCAGCCATGGCTCGTCCATACCCACATATGGCTCACACATGGCTCAGTAGGGGTTTGAGACCTTGCCTCCTCCATTGTACATCTGCCTTGGTCCTCCAGGACACCAGGGGGTGTTGGGGTCTGGCCCGGTTCATTGCATCCAATCCCAGTCCACACTTGTGCCAAGGGAGACTACAACTGTTTCCAGATCAGAAAGCAGCCCCCATTCCAGGTCACACGCCTCTTTGAAGGAACCTCAGCCCAGCTAGGGTTGTCCCCTTAACTCCCCAACCGGGCCTGTTCCCAACCATAGTTCACTCGCATGCCAGTGGTTGCTCTTACTCAGCTTGGCACAGCCCCTCACCTGTCCCGACCTCTGCCTTAGACACTGTGGCTTAGCATCCCTGGCTCATGTGGACCAGTAGGTACAAGTCCTAGCTCAGCATGACCTCTGCTCCCTCCTGGTTTCTAGTTTTGCTTGTGGGCTAAGGTTTGCTCAGTCGTGCCTGATCTGCTCTGTCCCATTACCAGTTGACACATTAGCCAGCTGTTGGAGCTGCTTTTGCAGGACAAGCCCCAAGCCATAGCTTCTGCATAGACTGGTATTTGGTGGTCGGCATTGTTAGTGATTAAAAGTTTTACAAAGGAAGAGTTACTGCCAGTGGGAATCTTTATGAATGTTTCAGGTCCTAGAAGCACAATGGGTTCAACCTGGAGCTAACTAAGCAGCGACTCAAAAAAGCAAAACCCCAGAGCTCCCGGCCAGGCGGCCAGCAGGCAGAGCCTGGCACCCAATGGCATACTGGCCGTCCGGGGACAGTTCACCTCGTGCACATGGTGGCTGTCGTCTGGGATCCAGGCATGAGACGGCCCGTCCTGAGACCCAACTGTGTGTCTTCTTGAGATAAAGGTATTCTTTGGTCATTTTCAGTGAGGTCACTGATTTATAAAGTGCTTTTGCTTTTGAGAGATGGAGAGCACTCTATTCACTGGTTTAAATCCCAAATGTCCCCAGCAGCTAAGGTCAGCACCTAGAGCCAGAAGCTGTTTAGGTCCCCCATGTAACTGATGTGAATCCCATTACATAAGCCATTCCTGGGTCTGCTTTGGCAGGAAGCAAATCATGAGCCACAGCTAGAAATGGTACACAGGTATTTAGTTATGGGATGCTTATCCAGTGTTTATGCTGGAACTCCCTAGGTGTTTGGTTTTTGTTGCTGAATTTACTGTTTCATTGTAGAAATCCGCACATCCTGCTCAGGGTGATAGTGTACCAGTTAAGGTCCTCCCCTGAACATACCTGGTCCCATAGTCCTGGCAGCCCTGCTTCCCATCCAGCTCTCTGCTTGTGGCCTGGGAAAGAGTTGAGGATGGCCCAAAGCCTTGGAATCCTGTACCCATGTGGGAAACCTGGAGGACATTCCTCCCTCCTGGCTTCGGATAGTCGCAGTACTGGTTGTTGTGGTCACTTGGGGAGTGAATCATCAGATGGAAGACCTTCTTCTCTGTCTCTCCTCCTCTATATATATATATCTGACTTTGCAATAAAAATAAATAAAGCTTTATAAAAAAAGAAGAAATCAGCATATCACGTTTTTATCAACTGACTTACACTTATTCATCGGATACATTTTAACTCAATTGGTATACTGAAGTGTTAATATTGATGAAATTTTTGTCTGTTTTTTTCTGTAATACACATGCCCTTGAAATAAAAATTGTTGCCAAATCTGACGTCATGAAGCTTTTCTTTTTTTCCTGTATTTTTCCCTAGGACATTTTCTTTGCTTTTTCTTTCTTTCATTCCTTCATTCTTTCTTTCTTCTAGTTTTTAAAATATTGTTAGCTCTAATGTTAGGTCTTTGATCCATTTTGAATTAGTATTTATGTATGGCAAAAGTAGGGGTCCAGTATCACTATTTTGCATGTGAATATCCAATTTTAATAGCCTCATATGTTCAATAAATTGTTATTTCTGTATTTAGCAGTATTGATATATTTATTAAGGTTCATTTGACCACATAAACACAGGTTTGTTTCCAGGTTTTCTATTCTGTTATCCTGTGTATCTGTCTTTATGTCAGCACCACGTTGTTTTGATTTCTGTGACTTTAAATAAGTTCTGAAATCAACATGTGTATGTCCTTCAAATTTGTTGTTCTTTCTCAACATTATTTTGGCCACTGGAAATTGTGTTTTGCAATCAATTTTGTATAGTCTTATTTTCTTTCCTGTTAAAATTATCTGTTAATAAAATAGGATTAGTGTCTTTAATTTTCATTTCTGTTCAGCCAAACTTATTTGAGATCATAAATATATTTTTAGAGTTTATAAAGTTCTTTTTATCTGAAGTCCAGGGTATTTATAAACATTATTAGAGCATTTTCTTTACTAATTGAGCTCCAAGGTTCTAGTGTCACCGTACTCATGTCTAGATCTTGAAGCAGTCTCCGTATCACTCACAATTCAACTCTGGAGTCTCTTTGTTTAAGCTTTCCTGATCTCTTCTATCTTCTAGGTTTATGTGTTATTTTGTTGTTTTTCCTTTATTTCCTAACTTTGGAGGCCAGATTGGAAAGCAATTTCAAATATGAGAAACTTTGTATGTGGCATTTTTTTGGAAAATAGTCTGGTAAAAATAGTGTTTAAAATGGTCATTTTTGCTCATTAATTTTTAATAAGGTATTATTTTGAAATGTTTTATGGTCTTATAAATAGAAAAATATTCATACCTTTCTAAAATAGGACTTTAGTGACTTTTCCGAAAATTATACCTGTTATTTCAAAAGAGGAAAGATCCATTGAGGCTGAGATCAATAGGAAAGAGTTTATTGAGGAAGAGATGGCAGAAATTTATACAATAGGTAGTCATATTGCTGTTTTATTATAGAATAATAAGGTACTAGCTGCCTGAAATGTTAGCTGGCATTTCCTTACATTTTTTTGTTTTTATAGGTCCTCCTCCTATACCTGCAGAACCAGTTGTTACGCCTGAGCCATCGTATGTTTCCAAAGTACATTATGGTAGGAGAGCTTTGAAATCGTCCTTGTTAAGAGGGTAAAATATTTAAGATTTAGAATGACATCATTAACATATAGTAAAGTATGCACTATACTTTTTATCACTCAAAAACTTTCTCACACTTCCATGAGATGAGAGCAATAAGGAGTGAATAGAAAAAAAATAGTTTTTGCTTTTATTTTTTTTTCTGTAAAGAGATGATTCTTCAGTTTTATATACTTGTGTTTTTTTTTTTTTTTAATTTTGACAATCTTTACATATTTAATTGGGGTAAAAAAGGGTTTAAGGGCTACAGGGAAGTGGGCAAGACCATCACTTCCATACCGCTTTCTTCATGTATCTGAGGTAAAGGGGGATATAGAGGAAGAAGCCCCACCCAGTTTTCCACCCACCCCAAGTCCCGAATGTGGAGCATGCTCTGAGATACTCGATCAAGTGGTTCCAATAGTTCACCATTCATGGCTCGCTACCAGTCTTGCCACTCCAAGCACAATGTGATTGTTGAAGAGTCCACTGATTGACACAGGCCCTTCTAGAGTCTCCATTTGCCCAGTATTTTGCTGCCAACAGATAGCTGAGGTTGTTGATTGACTTGTTCTGTCTTTTCTTGGTTAGGACTCTGAGTCCGGTGTCTTGACTGTGGAGATCCTCAAAGAAATTTTGAGGTATTCCCAGTCCAGATTCCTGCGTGTTCTAGTAAGCATAGGGCACGGCACAGTCCGTTGCCCCGAGCAGCTGGTGGTGGCAGTTGCTGGGTCGGTTCTGTCTCCATCCGTGTCCTCCACTGAAACCAATGGGTGTTACAGTCTGGCCTGGTTCCACCCTGGACACACTTGGCCCTCGCAAGTACCAGTAGGAGCTGCAGCCCAGTCAGGGCGACCCACAGTAACCCCAACCGGGCCCACCCCCTACCTTCCTTGCCAGTATGTGTGGCATACTAGTCCAGTGTGTCCCAAATACCCTTCTGCTCATATACTTGCCAACGGGTGTTGCCACCTAATTCCATCCAACCATCTCATCCAACCAGCCTTAACGGGTGTTGTTGGGTGTCTGTCTAGCCACCCCAGCCCCTGTCCTAGTTCCCTTGCCCTCCCGTGGAAGGTGATGACCCAAGAGGGAGGTGCCCACTATTTCCCTCCCTGGTCGCTCCCTTTCCAGTTGTGTCCTCTCCAGTTGGCCCTGTGGTTCAACTCGACATGTCTAGCCCTTTGTACCAGCTTCTGCTAGCTGATGCTATGACCAAGCCCCAACAACCCTCACCCACTCTGATTGTAGCTTGCACCAGTGGGAATAGTCATCCCAGCCTGGTTTTCACCCAATCTGGTCCACATGAGGTGCACAGGTGCTGTGGCCCTGCCTGCTCTGGTCTACCCCCTACCCGGCTCACGCTCCTCAGTGTAAGTAGCTGTTCAGCTAGGGAATCACCCCTTATTCCCCTGTCAGCTCTGCCTCCTCCCTTCCTGGTTCTCACGTGTGCTGGTTGGGAGCTGTGGCTGCATCCGGCTCAGGCTACCTCACCTTGGCATTCCAACTTGTGTGTTGCTTTTGTCACGACCAGACCTGGTTCGACCCATACTCTGTTCGGGCGTTCGGATTTACCAGTGGATGACGTGAACAGATTCAGCCTGGTCTGCCTCTGACCCATGCCAAATGCATGCCAGTGGGACACTTTCCATGACTTCTTGGCTGTTACCTTCCATGTTTCTTGCACTGATCTTGCACAGGGTCTGTGTCCTGCCAGAGGAGCTGCCCGGGCTCCTCCATCAGAACCCCTCCAAGTGCCAGTTTTCCTGCATACCAGTGGGTCCATGTGCCAGTTCGCCTCCTGTCCTAGCAGGAACAGTGGCCTTTCCTAACTGGCCCTTCAACCCATTCTGGCTCTTGCTGTAGGATGTTTTAGCCCAGCCACGGCTCGTCCACACCCCCATATAGCTCGTATATGGCTCAGTTGGGGTAGAGACCTAGCCTGGTCTGTCCCACATCTACCCTGGTCCTCCAAAGCACCAGAAGGTGTTGCGGTCTGGCCCGGCCCGGTACGTCTTTTTCCAATCCACACTTGTGCCAATGGAGATGACAACTGTATCCAGACCCGACCACAGCCCCATCCACTAGTCACGACCCCTGCCTTAGACACTGTGGCTCAATTCTGTGCTTAATGTGGACCAGTTGGAGCCAAAATCTAGCTGGTCATGTCCTGAGCTCCACCTTGTGTTCCAATCATGTTTGTGGGCTAAGGTTTGCTTAGTCCAAACATTCAGATCCCAGCCCCACACTTGCATTAAGGTTTCATGTCCTGGTTCCTGGGAATCACCAGAAATTCGTGTCTCACCTACACTAACGCTGGTCTTATTTATGGGTGTCCCTAAGCAGCTATTTCATATCATAAAAACCCCAGAGCTCGCCGCTGGGCGGCCAGAAGGCAGAGCCTGGCACCACTTGGTGTACTGGCCACCCAAGGCCAGGGCCTCTGTCCCCGTCTTGTGGCGGGGGCTGTGGCCAAGACCCCTGCAGGGTTCCCTCCAGCAGGGGTGCCCCTGACAAGTGCCACCTTGAGGGGGGGTTAAGCCTGCCCCTTGTCCTGAGACTGGGACCCACACGACCTGTCCTGCCGCCAGCTTTTGGTTTTTAAGATAATATATTTTGCTTTTAAGAGAATATTTTGCTTTCACGGGCCTGTTATGAATGAAAACTTTCTGGTGTTTTATGGCCATTTGTCAATTTATCCAAACAATCTGTTCACATTTTAATCATAATTTTTAGTTGCTCATCCCCAGTTAGCTTCAGTTTCAAGATGAAGTTACTAGCTATATCATCTGGGACCAATTTCCTCTGTGTAAACTGGCTGGTACAGTAATTACGTCATATCACAATGAGGATTAATTAATTTAGTCAGAGCCTGGTACGTAGTACATGTTCACTAAGAAAAGCTGTGATTATTTTAGCACTTCATCACATTGATCATTGTATGGTAGTTAGTATATATTTATGTCACACTGTGAATCTCTTAGAAGGCACAAATTTATTCTAAGTTTCTGCTTTGACCATATTGTAGGCATATTTCAGATTTTAAAGTTTATTTGTAAAAGAAAGTTTTTCTTCATTTTCTTTTCCAGGCCTGGAGGTTAACATTTGAACATTATTAGTCCCATTCAGCTTTTATCTTGTATTTTTCCATGCTTGCTTGGAGTAAAAGCATCAGATTAGAGTAAACAATACGTTTAAAGATAAAACCCACTAACAGTTTGATGGAGTCATTTGCTATAACAGTTTTAAGAACTTATGAATAAAAGAACCACGAGGGATCTGCTGCCATATGGCTGTCCCCACGCCTCCAGCACTCACACCAGCAATCCTGTCTGGTATACTACCCTCACAAGCAGCAGCTGAAACCACAACTCTGGCCTCTGGTCTGTTTTTATTTTTTCCATCCTTCATTTTCAGAAATTTATGGAATTGTTTTATTTCCCAAACAGCCAGCACATATGTATAGGGAAAAGTTTTTACTTGTTTCTCATTCCTTCCCAAGATGAGATACATTTAATAGCTAAGATTTTATTATTATATTTTAAAAAAAAAGATTTATTTATTTTTATTGCAAAGTCAGATATATAGAGAGGAAGATCTTCTATCTGATGATTTACTCCCCAACCAGCTACAATGGCCAGAGCTGAACTGATGTGAAGCCAGGAGGCAGGAATGTCCTTCAGGTCTCCCACATGGGTGCAGGATTCTAAGGCTTTGGGCCGTCCTCAGCTGCTTTCCCAGGCCACAAGCAGGGAGCTGGATGGGAAGCGGGGCCGCTGGGATTAGACCATTGCCCGTATGGTATCCCAGTGCATTCAGGACAAGGACTTTAGCCACTAGGCTACTGTGATGGACCCCATTATCTTTTAATAAATATTCGGAGATATATTGATAAACCATTGGTTTTCAAATATTTGAAATTATTCATATGTAGTGAGGTATGTTGCTGCTATGCACCAAATAATTATTCTGTCAGTAATAGTTGTGCACTTTTCCACTTTATATCAGAACACAAAGTAATTGCTAGGTGTAATATGTACTTAAGTAAATATACCAGTTTTATGGAAAATTATGTCAACATGTGAAGAATTTTGTTTTGGTTTGTTGATTTGATTTTAGAGGTTCTTAACAGCTCACATGGTAGGTGTGCTTCGTCACAGTGCTTGGAGAGGACTATAGGCATTCAGTGGAATGTTGATCAGTTTGCACTGTTGTGTGCAGCAGTGCTGTACAACTAAGAATTGTCTTGTGTTTTATGTTACTTTTGTATATCTCATCACATTAAACTTAAGTGTAGAGTAATCCTCCAGTGTGTAATGTGGACACGTTTGTTTATAAAGAACTATGAGTAAAGGCCTAGCAGATTCTATTATTTTAGAATTAAATACTTTAAAAATTTTTATAATAAATTTGCTTTCATATATTTCTATAAATGATTAACTAATTTGAATATATGACAGTTATGAGACATCTTTAAAGAAAGCATAATGTTCTTCAAATTTATATTATTTTTTATGTAGAAGGAAGATATGTACAGAATGCGAAGTTTTCAAAGATTGTTGAAGAAACATTTAACCAGCTGATTTCTAATTCTGATTATCTGAAATGTAGCAGTTCATTGGCTGCTTTCATAATTGAAAGAGGTAAGTCCAAATACTAGGGATGAATACCTCAATGAGGTGATCTATACAGCAATAACATTTTAGTTAACTGTATTTACTTTTGTTGGTTGTGGTTTGTACTGCTCTTTGTATGTATGTATAGGTCTTTAAACCAAGAGGTTCCCAAAATCAGAGAAGGAGTGATACTGAACTAATGGAGAATTATGTCATAATAGACAATATTTTTCCCAAAGCTCTTCTGTCACTACCACTATCCCACAATCTTATCCCAATTGTAAGAAACATTCAACTGCAGGTTATAAAAATTGGCATCCTTTTAAAAAATATTTTTATCGGAAAGGCAGATTTATAAAATGAAATAAAGATCTTCCATCCACTTATTCACTCTCTAAAATCATCAAAAGTCAAAACTGAGCCATCCTGAAGCCAGGAGCTTCTTCCAAACCTCCCATGTGCATGCAGGGTTCCAAAGACTTGGGCCATCCTCTGTTGCTTTCCAATTAGCAGGGAGCAGGATGGGAAATAGAATAGCTAGGACATGAACTGGTGCCAGTATGGGATGCTTGCACTTGAGGATGAAGAGTTAGCCAAATTGAGCCATTGTGCTGGTATCTTTTACATTTGCAGTGATATTTGTTACATTTACGCTGATATTACATTATGTTTATATTTATACTTACAAAATTGGTGTATTTTATATTTACATTGATAGTATAGTGCTAGGTTATTCAGTCTTACAAACTGGTCAAAACTTGTTTAATACGATTTATGATAAATTGTGAAGTATTTAAAGTATAGACAATGTGCCAGAATTGTTGGAAACATCAGATTCAGGGCTTAATTAACTTCTGCATCATCTCTGGGATTCAATGTTTGCTCTCATTTCCTAAAAAAAACATAGAAATAAAGCCTACTTCATGGACTTTTTAGGATTAAATAGTAATTACAAATGCAGCGCATAGCATAAATTACATTTAGGATGAAGAAAAAGTTAGGTAGCAATTAATATTTTTTAAAAAGTTACGAGGGAAGAACCTGAGTTAAGAAACATACTCTAGGTAGATGTTATGATGGAGAGCCTACTTTAGTATTTTGGTAGACATGCATAGGAAGTGAAACCTGCTTTAGAAAACAAAATGAAGGGCTGGGCAGGGTAGCCTAGCAGCTAAAGTCCTCACCTTGAACGTGCCAGGATCCCATATGGGCACCGGTTCTAATCCCAGTGGCCCTGCTTCCCATCCAGTTCCCTGCTTGTGCCCTGGGAAAGCAGTGGAGGATGGCCCAAAGCCTTAGGACCCTGCACCTGTGTGGGAGACCCGGAGAAGCTCCTAGCTCCTGGGTTCAGATCAGCACAGCACTGGCCATTGTGGTCACTTGGGGAGTGAATCATCGGTTGGAAGATCTTCCTCTCTGTCTCACCTCCTCTCTGTGTAGGTGACTTTGTAATAAAAATAAATAAATCTTTAAAGAAAAAGAAAACAAAATGAAAATAGAAAATGATAAAGTAAGACTAATAGAAACATTGTCATTTCAACTTTAAAGGAATAGTGCTTCAGTGTGCATAGGGATTCTGGAAGTCAGCTTAAGTTCAGTCAAGAATAATATAAGAAAAATAAATATGATTTTACAAGACAAATGTTCATGCCATGGGAAAACCTGAGTGAAATTAAGTGAACATTTCTAAAGTACATCTTATGATCAAAATATTTTAAATATATTTTTAGAAACTTATTTTAGTTGGGTCTTTAAGATACCCATGAGATCCTAATATCACTGTCTGTATTGCCACCAAATGTAAATACCTTTCCTGCATTTGTATACATTTTTCTCTTCTAGGAAAGTGAAGAAATGATATTTGTTACATGGAAATTGATTTAGTTCTGATTTCCTCTCCTATCGCATTTTTAGTCTTTCTTTTGATTTTCTCTTACTTTCTTAGCTTTTCCATGAAATATTGCAGATTGAATTACAAAGTTGAGAAAGATTGGAAATCTTGCCTATGCTTTTGCATTTTGATTTTTAATTTTTTTAAATTTATTTTTATTGCTAGGTCAGATATACAGAGAGGGGAGACAGAGGGAGATCTTCCATCCGATGATTCACTCCCCAAGTGACCACAATGGCCAGTGCTGTGCTGATCTGAACCCAGGAGCTAGGAGCTTCTCCGGGTCTCCCACACAGGTGCAGGGTCCTAAGGCTTTGGGCCATCCTCCACTGCTTTCCCAGGCCACAAGCAGGGAGCTGGATGGGAAGCAGGGCCGCTAGGATTAGAACCGGTGCCCATATGGGATCCTGGCACATTCAAGGCGAGGACTTCAGCTGCTAGGCAACAGTGCTGGGCCCTGCTTTTGCATTTTGTAATTCAGAACTTACATCACAATTTTATTGTAGAACTTATTTTGATACTGTTACATAATTCCATACAAAGAACATTTACAGACCTGATTATTTACTCAAGTTCATCATTCACAAGATGACGTTTCTGGGGTTGAGGCATAGTGGCTTAAGCCACTATTTGTCATGCCAAATGGGCAGCAGTTTGAGTCTGAGCTTCTTTACTGTGATCTAGCTCCCTGGTTATGTACCTGGGTAAGCAACAGAAGATGGCCCAAGTGCATGGACACCATGCCACTTCTGATTCACCTTCCTGCTAATGTGCCAAGGAAAGCAGAAGAGGATGGCCAACTACTTGGACCCCTAAATTCAAATCGGAAAACTGGAAGGAGCTCTTGGCTGCTGGCTTTAGAACAGTCTGGCAACAGCCCAGCTCTGATATTGCAATCTCTCTAACTGCCCGTCAAATAAATAATGAAAAAAAAAAAAGAGTAACCTGCTACTGTTTACCTTTTCCTTTCAGCTGGACATCATGAAGTTGTAGCTATAGGCACAGGTGAATACAATTACAGTCAGTGCATTAAACCAAATGGAAGAGTATTACATGACACCCATGGTGTAGTTACAGCAAGAAGGTCTCTCCTCAGGTAAGGTGTCCAAGTATATTTAGTATCTCCAAATATAAATGCTCTCAGACCAAGATCAGTTTATGCAAATGTATTCAAAGATGGAACTTTACTGATCATTAAGCCAAGAATATGACAGTTTCTCATCCAAGTCAATTAATTGTGTTTTTTTTAATTGTCTTTGGAAAATTTATTGTTAACTACAATATCTAGTTTGTGGATTTTAATGTCCTCTATTAGTAAGACCTTGTGAACTGATTTCTAAGAGTCCTGTAGTACTTTTTAAAAGATACCATGATTTTACTAAAGTTATCGAAAAGTATGGCTTTAGATCTGGATAAAGTAGCCTTGGTCTTATTTTTGAATGAGCCATACTTATCCTATGGCAGGACCAGGAAGCAATGGGTTCATTTGTGTAGTACGTGCAAAGTATTCCATATGGATAGCATATACATAGCGATATTTTTCAGGCTAACAGATCTCAGAGAGAAAGGAACTGAAGGAGATGAATACACCTAGTATCTTTTTCCCAAAGTATCAGTCAACTATGCTCCTTGCAAGAGGAATTGAATAGGGGTCAGCACTGTGATACAGTGGGGTAAGCCCTTGCTTACATCCTTACAATTCTGACATCCCATTTTGGACATATGGGAAAGCAACAGATGGTAGTGCAGGTATTCAGACCGCTGCCACACATGTAGGTCAGAATGCAGTTCCTGGTTTCTGGCTCTAGTCTGCACCCACCCTAGCTGCTTCAGTCATTTGGGAAATGAACCAGGAGGTCTGCTTCTCCTCTCTCTTCCAAATTTAAAAAAAAAAATTTAATGGGAGAAGAGAAACCACAAATAGTACACTTTCAATGTCTCTTTGTATCAAATGTGGGAAATGTGTATACAAACTTTTCATTCTTTCAAGCCATTGAGCTTACTTCTGATCATTTTTTTTTATTATATCAGTTTCCAAACACAGGGGATAACAGGATAATAAATTCTACCAATTTCAGTTACCATCATTTTGCTATTTACTTTACTTTTTCATTTTTTCTGTCCTTTGCTAGAATCTATTAAAATAAATTTGGGTATATATATATATATATTAACCAAAAAAAAAAGATAAGTACAGATTCGTAATAATACAGAAATGTTTCTGTAATCCTAAAAGTTATTGGAGAAGTCCTTGAGGGTAATACAACTTACTGTTTGTTGTTGCCTCCCTCCACTTTGTTCATTTGGTGCTTTTAGAATCACTTGACTGCTTTAAAATTACCTTCTTTATATGTATATTTCTTCTCTTTTCTCATGCTTGATGTTGTTATAGACTAATACTTAATTTTCTGTTACATAATTCTGATGGAATTTGAGGGAGTCTATAAAACATAATTTTTGAATAGGCAAAATAGCACCTGCCCCTGCTGAAATTAATTGTGATCTTACAGGAGATCTGTGTCACATTTTTAATGCAATTTATAGAGTTTGAGGAATTATTGTTGTTCTCTTCTGCTTTTTTTTTTAAATTCTAAGGAGCATAAACCACAATTGTTTGCTTAGGTAGAGCAAGGGAAAGAATATTAAGGCTAAAAGTTTACCTGAGAAACTGGGAGCAGAAGTGAAGAGGAATCAATAGGGAGAAGGATCTTTAGCATGGTATGGTAGATTAAGGCTTAGATATGAATTGAAAGTGAAGTGACAGTGGTGGAATAGATTACAAGGCAGATTGGATTCCAGTTGAGAACCTTCCAAGGGGCATATGTTTTCATTAACGTCTGATAAGATTATCATATGAGTTCTTATCAATTTGAAAACTTACGATATTCAGGGACATTACTTATGATACATATGGATACTCATTAAGATGCTTATTTTAATGCAGCAAGGTGGAGGAATCCACCATGGGGGTAGGGTTGTGGGAGGGGTAGGGGGAATCCCAGTGCCTATAAAACTGTATCACATAATACAATGTGATTAACAATAAAAAAAAAACGCTTATTTTATAAATGCTAATGCTTGACACATTACGACATCTGTTTTAGGTACTTTTATAGACAACTTCTACTCTTCTATAGCAAAAATCCTGCTATGATGGAAAAATCAATCTTTTGTACAGAACCAGCTTCTAATCTTCTCACTCTTAAACAAAATATCAATATTTACCTTTATATGAACCAGTTGCCTAAAGGATCAGCCCAGATTAAGTCACAGCTGTAAGTATATACAGAGTTGGTGTTTAGTACCACATAAAATAGTAACACCATGTACCCTGAGTTGCTACAAGAGACAGGACTGTATTCTCTCTCCACTTAAATCTCCCTTTTGCTCAGCCTGATCTATTACTACTACTTAAAAATTTCATATACTTCACAATATTCTATGCTGTTGAAAATTTTTTAGCCCTTTAGACTTAGAAGACTTCCTAAAATGTAAAGATGTGGGCATGTGTGCGTGCACACACCATTCACATGCACATAAAGAAGTTAGGATGACTGAACTCAACCCTGTGGCCCAAATTTATTGCTTTGATTCAGCAGTATAGAACATCATGTAGATACACAACTTAAACATTACAGATAAACACAGTGAAGAAAGTAAGATTCATCTCAATTCTAGGAGAACTGCTGGTATTATTCTCATTAATGTATTTACAATAACACTTTTGAAAATAAGCTCAGTGTCCCTAGAGAAATCTTAAAAATAATGTGGCACAATGGCCACATCCTTGCCTTGAAAGTGCCAGGATCCCACATGGGTACCAGTGTGTATCTTGGCTGCTCCACTTCCATCCAGCGCCCTGCATGTAGCTTAGGCCATGTAGACCCAGATGAAGTTTCTTTTGATCAGCTCAGTTCTGGCCAGTGTGGACAGACACTTGGGGAGTGTACCAGCGTACAGAAGATCTTCCTGTAAATCTTATTTTCTAATAAAAAATAAATCTTCGGAAAATAATTTTTTATTTTATTTTTTGACATCTCTTATTGTAGATGAGACTTGAATTAAGAGAGTTGATTTTTTTTTCATTCTTCCTTATTGTACTCTAAAATTTCTATCTAGGAGAAAGAAATAACACAAATTTACTGGGACAATTAACTTTTTTTATATTTTGAGAGGCATAAAGAATGTTAATATGAAAGTTATGCAGGAAGTTCTGAAAATGGTTCATTTTTGCTTTATATTCATTTTGTATGATAGTCACTCCATTCCTATCTTATTTTGTGTTTGTAGCTGTATCTCTTGCTCGAATTAAATGTATACTGGCAAGTGAAACATGTTAAAAAATGTTCATGTGGTTTGCTTTGTCAGTTTGCTTTTTAAAAGAATACTTTTTTTTTTCTCTAGACGTCTTAATCCACATTCGTTATCTGCATTTGAAGCCAATGAAGAACTGAGTCTGCATGTGGCTGTTGAAGGCAAAATTTATCTGACAGTTTACTGTCCTGCTGATGTTGTTAACAGAGTAAGCAGTATGTCTTCAAGTGATAAATTGACAAGATGGGAAGTGCTTGGTGTACAAGGAGCATTGCTGAGTCACTTTATACAGCCAGTTTATATCAGCGGTATACTTGTTGGTGAGTGGAATTTCATTACCTCCTGGCCTCCTTCACTAAATAAATTTTGTGTATTTTACTTTTCAGTATATAGTGATCTTTAGCATAAGTAAAACAATTAAAACATAGATCTTTCTTTTTTTTGTTAAGGTCTTCATTTCACAGTTACATATAGTCAGGCTTAACTTAGCTGATTCTAATTCTGTTTTAAACTTACATTTGATTTGTGCGGTATTTAATTTTTCCTTCTATTTGGGACATGCTTTCTTCTAGATCTACAGAAATAAATTTCTTAATGATTTTTAAAATTTTTTCTCACCTTTATCTCTTTCCAGTTCCTAAAAAAAAACACAAAAAACATTTTTTTTTTAATTTATAAGAGTGTTAGAATGAAATAGACACTAATGAAGATCTTCCATCCGCTGGTTCACTGCCCAGATGATTGGATCAGGCAGAAGCCAGGGATAGCCAGGGCGACCGTGTGAGTGGCAGTGAACCAAGTACATGGACCATCTGCCTGTTTTCTCAGATGTATTAGTAGAGAGCAGAATTAGTAGCATCCAAGACCGGTAGCTGTGGATAGACATGGTCGCATCAGCAACAGATCTGAGGGCTCATTTTCTTTTTTCTTTTTCTTTCTTTTTTTTTTTTTTATTAATTGCATTGCATTATGTGTTCCCCCCACCCCTCTCCGAACCCTCTCTCCATGGTGGATTTCTCCACCTTGCAGCATTACCGCAGTTCAAATTCAGTTGAGGTTCTTTCATTGGAAGTATTTACCAAGCATTAAATCCAGTGTCTTATTATCCTAGTGGGTTCAACAATTTCTTGGTGAGACCATCTCTGGTCTGAAGGTAAAGCCAGCAAATTATCATCCCAATTAATTAAAAGCCCGAACATAACATCAACAGCCATTTACAACTTTATGGCATTAATTGACATGATATTGATTAACAGTGTGTTAATAGGAAAATGTGGTTTCTTAACTACATCCTGTGACTTCTTCATAGACATTTCAATTTTTGGTTTATATTCAACCTGATTCCATGCAGTTATCAGTTTAGGTACAGTACATTTTTTTAGAATGGGTGTGCAGAGATATCCCCAATACCCCAGGGAGGCGTAACTAATCTTTGTGTCCCACCTAGTGAGGCATGTTTGGATCCACGCTGTCCATTTCCTGTCTGATTCTAAGCTTTCCTTGTTGTTGTCTGTCCAGTCTAGATATTTTGTTTGTTTGTATGCTTGTTTGTTTTGAGGAGTTTCTGGAACAATCCTAATGGTCACCGCCAGGGAGGGTGGGAACCCAGAGCTGGAGCCAGGTAAGGACCAGAGAGAGCTTGCCTCCCTAGTCCCGAAGGAAGTTTATTATTATTCTGTTTCTGCAGATTGCTCAGGGCTCCTGGCCGTCGTTCCGATGAGGCTGGTTTCTGCCTAGCAGAGTTTGGACTTCTTCCATCCCCTATGGAAGGCTCCAGATGGGGGTGGGTGACCTCAGAGTTCTCAGCCTCCAAAGGCACTCCTATTCCCCGTGGTCTCCTTGGCAGTTGGGATGTAGTCCTTGGTGTCCGTATTGATGATCCTTGGTGAGGATCTGGGAGTCTTCAGGATTGGGATACGAGCCTCCCCCAGACCTCCCGCTCCACTCTGGGGTCTCCCCCCTGCTCCATATGCACGATCTCCTGTTAAGAGGCTGTCAGGATCGCTCCCGATTCCCCCCTTATGCCTGTGTAGCTTTACTATTGTCTAGTGCCAACTCGAGTCTGTTGTCTGTGGGTCATCAGATTTGATCCTGATAGGCTATATTTCACGACTTCCTCTCACTTTTTAGGGAGATGGAAGATTTCTCTGCAATGCCTCCCCATTACGGAGTAACATAGGGTATTAAGAGTGTTTTAGGTTTTACAGTTCTTTGATGTAGATCATTAGCATTCTGACTCACATTAATTGTTGTTTTATAGGTTACTATGCATTATCTTATTGCATTGGATACATGTTGTCAGAGATTGCAATAATATTACAATGTATAGGTATTATTTTCCAGATTAACAACTTTTAATCTCAGATTAAGGCAAACATGTGGTATTTAAGCTTTTGGGATTGGTTCATTTCTCTTAGTATAATGGATTCCAGTTGGGCCCATTTGGCCACAAAGAACTGCATTTCATTTTTTTTGATAGCTGAGTAGTATTCCATGGAGTATATGAACCATAGCTTCTTATTCAGTTGAGGGCTTATTTTCTGTCAGTTTCACATGGCTGTGGTTCTAACTTTTGCAAAGAAATTTATTACCATTATTTAGCTTTTCTGAGCTTACTGTTAATTTTGGAAATGAATACATTTGCAGTCCTTAACTCTGACATGTGAAATGTTTTTGTTTTTAGGTGGTTCTGTTAAATTTTTTGTATTTTTAAATTTTTAAAATTTGTTTTATAGCTATTTTTAAGGAATTTCTCTTCGACGTATAATTTTTAGTTTAATAAGCGAGCAATCTGTGCTAAGAGGGAAAAGTAGGTTGGTTTTTGTCTCATTATTACCTTCATTTGTATAGGAAATGGTCATGATTTACAATTTGAGACTATTGGATAAATTTTCCCTTCCATCCTAGTGTTCGAGGCACCTATTTTTAACCTCTGCAGAAGCACACATTGTTACAAGTTTCTTGTTTCTTTTTAAAGATAGCTTTTGCTTAGAAAAGTAGTAGTATACATTTTTTGCTTATTTTTCTTCAGACTTTTTATTTGCATGTCATTTTTTTCAGGCTTCTGTACACCTTGCTATTTTCATTTAAACATGTAGCTTTGGAAGTTTTCCAAATGACCATATAAAGATTTTCCTCACACTCCTCATGATTATGTGAATTTTCTTTTTATAAATGTGTCATTTTCTCTATCTTTGAAAAAGGAATTCCTTAAAACACTATAGTAATGATATATTTTTGTATAAATCTGTCATAACTCTCTTTAAAAAATAACCCTTAAAAATATAGAGTGGGTTATAACTGCTGATTTCCTCGTCATGATGAAACAGATTCTACTTTAAGTTTAATTCATGGATTTTTAACATGCATTTACTAATTTTAGGAATTCTTTTATTCAGTCCTTTTTTTTTTTCAGATCAGAAGTACAAGCTTCAGAATGTTAAAACTGTTGCAGTCATTCAGTTACTTTGTTGATTAAGCCTAGAATGTAATGTGATTTTTATTACTTCCCATGCTCCTGCTTATGCATTTGTAATTTGATGCCCTACAGGTCAAATCACCTGTAGCCTTTAATTATATTGAACCTTTGAGTTTTGTGGTTTTTTTTTCAGATAACTTTGAATGAATCAATTAGACATTTCCAAATTATATATATATCATTTTTGAGACATATTTTTCTAGAAATAGCCTTAAGATATTATAAAATTATTCTTTAGTTATAGTGAATTGTTAAAACCTACAAATATAAAGAAAAAAGTAAACTTTCCAGGAAAATGTTAATTCATTTTATTCTTTTTCATTAGATTAAAATTTTAACTTTGTGTTTAGTATGCCTACTGATGCTTAAGGAATCTTAGTAGTATAACTTATAGGAGTTTTTATACCCCGAAGTGTAACTCCTGTCATCATTAAATTGCAGTATGCAATGAATACATCTTCCTTCGACCATGCCTTCTGTTAATTATAGATACAATAATTATTCCTCAGGCCTTTCCCCAAGCATTTTCTGTGCTCCATTATATCTTTAATTTTAGTAACCTTCTTTACTAGCTGATTGTGGAGATTAAGACAAAATGCTTAGGAAAGGATGTCAAAAGCAGGTAATGCCCTGTTTACAACATAGTGCCTGAAGAGTCATAATAAGTATTAAATACTGTTAACCATCTTAGAAATGTCAGTGATGTGAAAGCAAGACTTTGTATACAAGATATAGAAAGATTCTATTGTTTGGGAATTTTCTGACCACCTAAGGAGAAAAATAAGATTTATTTTGTTTGTTGTTTAAAAGGCAGAGTAGCAGAGAAAGATGCTGCATCTGCTAGTTCATTCCCCAAATGGCTATTATGGCCAAGGTTAGGCCAGGCCAAAGCCAGGAGCAGGAAATCTTGGTTTCTCACGTGGGTGTCAAGTACCCAAGCAATTGGTCCATCTTCTGCTGTCTTCCCAGGCATGTTAACAGGAAGCTGAATTTGAAACAGAGTAGCTGAAACATGAATTGGCACTCTGATACTGAATCCTATCATTGCAAACAGCATCTTAATTTGCTAATACCAGGTCCATAGAATTATTATCTTAAAATATAAATGACTGTTCTAACTTATAGATGCACCTTACGATTTATATTAGTGACATTTCATCTTTTTTGAAATCTCTTCAACATAATTCAGAATTCAAGTATTTGATATTGACTGCATTTTAACTAGAAATGGTCATACTTTAAATTTGTGCTGTGAAAATGGAGCATTTGTAATTTGATGCCCTTAACTTGTGGGAAAGTAACACTGTTACCAGCTATTTCTCAGCTGGGTTAATACACAGTATAATGTGTTACTTCATACTGTAATCAGAGGAAATCAACACAGACTACAGCAGTTCTCTCTAGCAGAACTCTACTCACCCTAAGTTAGTACGAGTTATAAATTTATTTATTAGGACTACTTTTCCTTATTTTCTCTACATATAAAAGTCTGAAAATTTTGTTAACTTTTCCTGGTTTGGGTGAAAAATGTGGGAATAACTAATGAGACAGAAAGAGAAATGACATGGTTGAAAGGCAAAGAATAAATAGGCTTTGGAATGTTGTCAGAAATAGATTTTTTATAGTAGTCTGTTGATGTTGAATTTCTGAATGTTTATTTTGTTTTTGCTTTTCAAGGTGATGGGAATTGCAGTGATACTAGAGGCTTAGAAATTGCTATAAAACAGCGTGTTGATGATGCACTTACTTCAAAACTTCCGATGTTTTACTTGGTCAACAGACCTCACATTAGTTTAGTACCTTCTGCATATCCACTTCAAATGAACTTGGATTATAAATTCCTGAGTCTGAATTGGGCACAAGGAGACATTTCTCTGGAGATTGTGGATGGCCTTAGTGGGAAGATCACTGAAAGGTTAGAATTATTAATTTTTTAAATTATGTTTTAAAGGAGATTTTGTCATAATTTTAATTCTTACTTTTTAAATACCATTTATTGGACCCTGGGCAATAATAATTACCATTTATTGGATGTGACTACTATCTTGCTGGCATGTGCACATTTAAAATTTTTTTGTTGTAAGAAAAAAGACCTGAAGAAATTACATAGCTTACTGAAATTCTGTAATTAGCAGTGAAGATAGTATTTAGACCCTAGTTATCCGGCTGTATAATATGTATTTTTCATTTAAAACCATTAATACTGGAATCAGATTTTGTTTGAAAAAATCAATTTCACCTACTGAGTGTGAATTTCTGGATATTTGCTTAGGAATTTGTATTTTTAATGTGTTCTTCAAAATGTTATATAATGTATACTTAAGTGTAAGAACTACTATGTTATACTGCTTTCTAATAATCCTACAGATTCAATGATACTGATATTTTACAAATTTACAAGCAATTTTAAACTATCTTCACTATTTTACCTAAGTAACATAGCTGGCATTCTATCTGGACATTTTGTTTCCATGTTCCATACATTTCTCTGTAATATGCTTAAATTATGGGCAACCATTGGTACAGTGGTTAATAGAATGACTACATTCTGTGTCAGAGTGCCTGGTTTCTAGTGCCAGTTCTGCTTCTAATTGTTTCTTGCTAAGGCACATCCTTGGAAACACCAGCTTGTGTGCAGGTAACTAGGATCTGGATGGGTGCTCAGCTTCTTTATGCTGTCCCAGCTCTGACTGTTTTAGGCAGAATCGAACTAGCAAATAGAGCATCTCTCCCTCTCTCCCTTCCTCCTCCTGCCCCTTCCCATTTAATATAAAATGAAAATAAATAAAAATTGATACTAGAATTGATTGTCAAATAAAAACTTAGAATTCATCTTTAATTGTGAGCATAATACTTATAATGACAATATGGATAAGGTTAAAAGATTAAAATGCTTTCTTGAAATTTTTTTTTTATGAAGGACAGGTTTAAATTAAAGCAACTTACAGTTGTTTCTTAGTATGAATTCAGTCAAACATAAACCACATTATTTCACAAAGGACAAATTATACTATTATGCTTTTGATCAGAGAAGTGTCCAGCTGTTAATAACAAGCTCTACACAGATACAGTCCAAAGGTCACATATGAAAGACATTAAAAAACAAGAATAATAATGTAACAAAGATGAAATTAGAAAATGTTAAGATGAGTTTAATTTATTATAACCAAATATTTTTCGAGTGATTATAAACAGAAAAAAATGCATAAGATGTACTCTAAATTAGACATAGTATAATTCACCAAAAGCAGTATAGAGAGAAAAAGGAGAATACTTTATACCAAGAAGGGAGGAAGTTGGGATGGTATGAGCAACTTTGAAAAAGCACAATGTAAGCATTAAAACACATTACAGAAGACAAGAGGAAAAATACAAACACACTGTTCTAAAGACAGTAATTGACTTTTTTAAGTTCATTATAGATCAGGTGGACAAAATAATAATGGAAATAAGTAGATTTGACTATTTAGAAGTCTGTCTTAAAATGATTTAAAATACACCCCTTTTTAAGAACATATATAATCTTGACCAAAAAAAAAAAAAGGCCATGTATCTGATCACAAGATCTCAAATTCCAAAAACCAGAAGCAATGTGGGTAATATTCTTTCATTATGATGAAATGGAAATATATTAAAATCAGTATGCTAGAAACTGCTTTCATAAAGGCTTAATCTAGAAATATAAACAGCTAAGCAGTTGATTATAAAAACCTGATTCTATGAAAACTCTGTAGATAATCTCATGAATTAGAACAGTTACTCAAAAATATTAAAATTTAAAGAATTGTAAGAACCCACTTTTTACAATCTTGCAAATCTTAAAAAAATAAAAAATAAATCTTAAAAAAAATCAAAAGGAAATGGATAAGTGTCTTGGAAAATATTTCCAGCACTGGTATGGAAGAGGGAAAGTTCTAATCATTTTCATGAGTAAGTTATCAAAAAGAGACAGGCATTGTAGCATAGCAGTTTAAAAGCAGCCACTTGTGGCACTGGAGTCATATATTGTAAGTTGGCTCCACTTCATCCAGCCTCCTGCAGATGAGCCTAGGAAAACACCAGAAAATAGTACTTGGGTTATTAAAAATTCTGTGGATCCTGGAAACTCATATTGATGGGCTTTGTAAAGTTGCACGCTCTTGGATTTGACCTGTTCCAGCTCTGGTGATTACAATCATTTAGGGAAATGAACCAGCATGTAGAAGTTTTTCTCCACTGCATGTTATGCTTTCAAATAAATCTTTAGGGCCTGGAATGGTAGCCAAGCAGCTGAAGTCATCACTTTGCATACTCTGGGATCCCATATGAGCACTGGTTCTAATCCCAGTGGCCTCGCTTCCCATCCAGCTCCCTGCTTGTAGCTCGGGAAAGCAGTGGAGGATGACCCAAGGCCTTGGGACCCTGTACTTACATGGGAGACCTGGAGGAGGCTCTGAGCTCCTGGCTTCAGACTGGCACAGCTCTGGCCGTTACTGCAGCTTGGGGAGTGAATCAGCATATGGAAGATCTTCCTCTGTCCTCTGTATATCTGACTTTGCAATAAAAACAAAATCTTTTAAATAAATAAATAAATCTTTAAAGTTATGAAAGATACCTTAATTCTTCTTAAATAAAAGCAATGTTCTGATGAAGTTCTGAGGGATTTTGAAAGCTTTTAAATAGCAGATACTCTCAGTGCTATCTAAAAAGATGAAACATATGTAGATTTTTCATGAGGCAGGTGTCTCTCTCTCTCTCTCTCTCTTTTTAAAGGCAGATTTATAGAGAGATGAGAGAGAGCCTTCCATCTGCTAGTTCACTCCCCAAGTGATTGTAAGAGGCAGAGATGGACTGGCCTCATGTGGGTGCAGGGACCTAAGGTTCTGAGTCATCTGCTGCTGCTTTTCCCAGATGTGTTAGCAGGGAGCTACAACAGAAGTACAAGCAGCCTGGACTTGAACTAGCCAGGACTCAAACTCACCACAGTTGGAGGTTTAACCTTCTGTGCTCTGGCAGTTGCCACAATTGTGTCATTCCCAAAGCTGATAATATTGTTACCTTTACAGTTTTAAGTTGGATTAAACTCACTTATATCCGTTCAGAATTCCAAAGTAAAATAGTAGGAAGTAAATTTTAGTAGCACATTAAAATAATATATATTATACAATATTGGTTACCTTTATGTAAGTAAGAGGAGTAATTGTAAAAATATCATATTAGGAATTAAATTGGTCATACTAGTTGATTTAGGGAAAACACCTTATATTCATCCCCATAAATTCTACAGTCATATAAAAGAACTCTAAACAATTCTAGGTAAATATTCTTAGTAGTAGAGGAATAGTTACATTTTTTTTTTTGGTTACAAAATAAAGCAATAATTAACCCCAAAATAAGTGATTGCTGATGAAATGTCAGAGATAGTCTCACTAACTGAAAGCAGATCATGAATGGTGGAAACCTGTGGCTTAGCATTTTACTGGTAGCATTCATTAGCATATTGGAACAAAAGAATTCTCTTTTTGAAGATATTGCCATTTATACCTGACAGTTCAAGAAAACTTTCTGAAATACTACCACAGCAAAAATCATGGCGGAAAATGAATTTATGGAGATTAATAGATTTCACAAGTATGAGTGTGTGGTAAATATTGCTACATAAGAACTCCTCCAAAACTCAGTGGCTTAAATCAACAACCACTTAATACCTATTGTAATTATTTTTAGTTTAGATGAGTGGCTTTTCTGAGTTTGAGTAGTCTTTCACATGAATCTATAATCCCTGTAGGTCATATAAAACTATATTTGGCTGACTTTGGAATACAGCTTGGCTGTGGCCCAAGTGTCTGGCATGCTGTTTATTTTGTCCACTAAAACAAATTGCATAGTAAGGACAAATTCAAAGAAGGATAACACACTAATGGGAGGTTCGGAAAGTCACAAAGCCCAGAGACCAGCACAAATGAAGGTATCCAGCAATTTTCATGGTTTATCAAAAAACAAAACAAAAACAAATAGTCAAACACAAGAAACCTTAAGGGGAAAATTACAATAGCAAAATAATTCAAAGTCAGTGGACCACTTTCATTAAAAACAATTTACATGTACATCTGCAAACATACAGAGCATGGCATTGTAGATAAACTGCTGTCTGTAGTGCCAGCATCCCACATATGGGCTGCTGCCAAGGCACAAGCTGGCTTCTTGCTGATGTGCCTGGGAAAGCAGCAGTAAATGGCCCAGTTGTTTGGGACCCTGCCCTCATGAGGGAGACCTGGCTGGAGTTCCTGGCTTTTGGCTTTGGCTTTGGCTTTGAGTTTGTCCTGTCTGATATCTACATCTAGATATTGCAACCTTTTGGAAAGTGAACCAGTAGGTGAAAGAACGCTCATCTCTCTCTCTCTCTTCTCTCTCTCAGTTGTTCTCTATTTCTTTTTATTTCTGTATCTTTGTTTGCCTCTTTTCCCCTCAATAACTTCTTTTTAAATAACTAAAATCTTTAAAAGAAATAGAAAAAATACAAGCACACACATATATATGATGGCTTGTGAAGTGGGTGCACATATGTTGTTTTTTTAGTTAAAATTTATATGTAGTGAAATGTGCTGTACAGCCTCATGAATTTTGATATAAACATGTGCAGTGATCACCCCAGTCAAAAGGGGACACATTTTTATTATCCCAGAAAAGTTTTTCCATTTCTGCCACACTCAGGTAGGAACCACTGTTTTTGTATAACTAGAATAATTTTGCTTCAAATAGTAATGTTCCAAATATCAAACGTACACATTAGCTTTTATGTAGTACTATAAAACATCAACTGAAATTTAAATTACCTCCAGAAAGAATTGAACATTCAAAAGGTTTATGTACAAAAATTTTCCTACAAGCATTATACATAATCAAAATCAGTAAGTATACTATTGATTTTAGTCCCCATAATTACTAATGTAATTTAATAACAATATTTCATTCCTTTCTATTTTAGCTCCCCATTTAAAAGTGGTGTGTCAATGGCAAGTCGCCTTTGTAAGGCTGCAATGTTAAGTCGATTTAATCTGCTTGCCAAAGAAGCTAAAAAGGAAGATTTACTTGAAGCTAGTACCTATCATGCAGCTAAGGTAAATTCTTAAATCAATGAAGTTGTCCATAGAAATAAAGGTAATAATAATCATTATTTTTAGGATAGTTTCTTTTCAGCAAAGGTTTGTAGAATAATTTTTGAACATACACCATATAATAGTAAAAATAATTTTAAAGATGTTTATTAAAATAGAGAACAGATTTTTGTATTCCACAGGTTGAATTCCAAGTAGACCATACTTCTTTCACTTCTGATTATACAAAAATTGTCAAGTGAAGTGGACCAACCAACCTCGGGGCTGGCGTTGTGGCACATAGGGTTAAACCACTGTCAGCATCCCATGTGAGCAATCGTTCCAATCCCTTGCTATTCCCCTTCCAATGATACTTCTTGTTAATGTGTCTGAGAAAGCTACGGAACATGATCCCAGTGCTTGGGCCTCTGCACCTATGTAAGAGACTAGGATGGAGTTCCAGGTTCCTGGTTTTTACCTGGAAGAGCCCCTACTTGTTGCAGCAATTTGGGGAGGAAACCACTGGATGGAGGATCTCTTAACTTTTTCAAATAAAATATTTTAAAAGGTAGTAAAGGCCAACAGCAATGACAAAAAGATACAGAAATATCAAGTATACATAAAGATACTCAGCATCTTTTGTTATTAGAGAAATGCAAATGAAAATTATAGGGGAAGAAACTGGTGATGTGGTATATGAGTAAAACTGTTGCCTGCAATACCAGCATCCCTTAAAGGAAATTGTTAGAGTCTTGACTGCTCCACTTCTGACCCAGCTCCCTGTTGGTTGCCTGGGAAAAGCCATGGAAGATGGCTCAAGTATTTTTGGTCCCTGTCAGCTACATGGGACACTGATTTTAGCCTGGCCCAATCTTTGTCATTGTGGTTGTTCAGGGGAATAAACAAACTAATGGAAGATCTGCTTCTCATATATTAGAGTGGTAGGAATGTAAATAATGGCAGCTGCTTTTGAAAACAGTTTGTTCCTCACAAATTACATGTCAAGTTACTGTGTATCCCCACAATCCCTCCCCACAGTTCCATTCCTAGGTGTAAATATTAGAGATTTGAGGACAGACCTCCACACAGTTTGTGTATGAGTATTCATCAGCAGTAGCATTTGTAATATCTAAAAATCTGGAGCTCAACCCAAATCTTTGTCAACTGATGAATAAATAAAATATGACAAATTCATACAGTGGATTATTTGGTAAACAAAACTTAAGTGTTGGACTGCTCTACAACATGCATGAGCTTTGACAACAGCATGCTAATGAGGTAAAAGAAATTGATCACAAAAGCTTAAATATATAATTCTATGTATGTGAACTGTGATATATTGATATAGAATTATAACGTAAGTTTAAGAAGCCACACACATGAATGAATATGCTAAAACTCAGTAGTGTGCTTTAAAAAGAGTTGGTCTTATATGAATTCTATTTTGACAAAGTTGTTAATAATGATACAGTGAAGCCAAAATGCAGTAGAATGGCAGACTCAGTGTGCTGAAAGAGAAGTCCTCATTGCAGTGCAACAGGTTTAGCTGCCATTTCCAACACCATAATTACGTATCACTGTTCCAGTCCATATGCCAACTGTTCTGTTTCCAGTCCAGCTTCCTGTTAATGTGCCTGAAAAGGCAGTTAAAAATGGCTTAGTAACACGGCTCCTCACCCATGTGGGAGACCCAGATGAATTTCTTGGCTCCTGGCTTTGGCTAGGCTGTAATGAGCTAGCAGATGGAAGGTGTCTGTTCTCTTTTCTTCTCTTATCACCTCTCCTGTGTCTTCTCTTGTGTCTTGCCTTAAAGTATATTTCTCTGTATCCTCATTTCCTCACTCCTCTCCACTCATCCTGCCATCCCTCTCCTCTTTCTCCCTCTTTTTTCCTCTAAACCTCTCTACAGTCTGCCTTTCAAGTAAATCTTGATAAAGAAAATTTTGCAAGAGAAATTCTAGCAACCAAGAAAGTTTATCTAACAAACTAATCCTTCATAAATAAAATCACAATAAAAAATCCTCAGGTAAATAAGAACTAAGGAAATATTTTTTAAGTGGCACTTTGCTAAAGGAGGAGGTCCAAAGGAAGTCCTTGAGATTTAGAAGAGATTATTCCATGACAAATAAAAAAGCATAAAGGAATAATACTGAAAATGATAATCATGTGGATAAATACTTTCTGTGCATATATGTAGTGTTATTTTCCTTTAAAATCATAGCTTAAAATTATTTAAATTCTATATTATTGAATTTATGACATAAAAACATAGATGCAGTATATGGCAGTATAAGTCATGGATAAAACGGACTACGTTTAAATAAGTTTGCTATGTTTTGTAAAGTAATATTAATATGAAGTCAATTATGTGATATAAAGAGATATTTACAAATGTGTCCTTGAATAAATAAATGGAAAGACACTGGATAACACATTTTGGTGCAAATAAATTTTGGGATTATATACAAGAAATCTTCAGAACATTAATGGGAAATGTGTATTAACAAAAAACTTTGCAGGATTGCAAAAATTTTCTGTACCAGACTGAATCTTTTAATTTTGTTTTTCTGCAAGTACCCATTTTTTGAAGTATCCATGTGTATACGCTTTTGAAGTACACATGAAAAGTTCTCCAGCGGAGATCAGAGAGGTCATAAACAAGTCTTACTAAATTTCAAAGCATAAAAACTCTACAGAGCATGTTATAACTACTTTGGAATTAAATTGGAAACCAGTAACAAAATTAAATAGTAAAATGCAAGAATACTTCAGGAAGTCATAGAAATTTTATTTTTAAAATAATTTCATGCAAAAATATTTTAAATCCATGTAGTCTTTTAACACAATGCACACACGAAAGAGATGTAATAGCTATATGCTGGAAATGATGAAACTGTTTCTGTGTGGAATTGTAGAAGCTCTAAACAGATGGATCTTGCCTGATGTTGATGGCTGCTGACCTATCAAAGTGGTATGTACTTAAGATTTAGATGTCCAGACTGGTTTCTTAAGACAGAAATGAAGTTTGCCATGGTGCTTGATTTTTTTTTCCTTCCTGAAAGATTTCTTTGTAGTATATGATGTGATTTGGTAAAATTTTACCCACAATAGAACTTAAACTTGAGTGCTGCTGTATCAACTAAATTCATGGAATATTCTAAATCCTTTGTTGCCACTTCGACAGTGTTCATAGCATCTTTACTAGAAATACATTGTCATCTCAACACCACTTTCATTTCTCCTCATCTTGTGAGTATTTTGGGATTTAACAATTCAATATCACCCTCAGGATCTACTTCTAGTTCACTTACTATTTATTTCTACCACCACGTTAGCTTCCTCCATTAATCTTGAATGCCCTAAGTCATTCATGAGGTTCACAATCTGCTTCTAGGTTACTGATGTTTAATTTTTTTATCTCTTCCCATGAGTCTTCTTCATAGCTCCTAGATGCATGTATACTTATAAAAAGATTTTCATTTTACTTTGCCCAGCTGTATCAAATAAATCCCTATGGCAGCTATAGCCTTGCAGAATGTATTTCTTAAATAAAATGTAGGAATCAAAATTATTCTTTGATTTTTGAACTGCCGAATGAATGTTGTATAAGAAATATGAAAAACACATTAATCTCATTATACATGTTTGTCAGAACTGTTGAAGACAAAGCACATTGTCCATACGAGGTAATGTTTTCAAAGGAATTTTTATTCTGAGCATATCTCAACAATGGGTTTATAATACTCAAGAAACCATGTTGTATACAGCTGTAACATCTTTCAGGCTTTGTTTCTTTTACAAAACACAGGCTGATCAGAAGCAGTGTAATTCTTCAGGGTTTTGAATTTTCTGAATGATAAATGAGTATTAACTTCATCTTAAATTCACTAGCTGCATTACTTCTTGACAAGCAAGTCAGCATGTCTTTTGAAGCTGTAAAGGCATTGACTTTTACTCTTTAACTGTTGAATCCCTAGATGACATCTGTTTGCAGCAGAAAGCTGTTTTGTCTGCATTTATATCTTCTGTTTAAAGTATGCTTATCAAATTATCTAGATTTTCTGGGTAGCTTCTAGAAGTTTCTGCATCAGCATTTTATGCTTCATTTTGCACTTTCATGTTAATGGAGATGGTTTCTTTTTCTTAAACCTCATAAACCAACCTCTGCTAGCTTTAAACTTTCTTCTGCAGCTTGTTCACTTCTCTGACTTCACACATTTGGAGAGACTTGCTTCATATCAACAGTTTACTCTTTTCACTTTGTTGTTGCTTGTGTGTTTGCTGGAGTAGCATTTTTAATCTTCAAGAAATTTCCCTTTGCATTCACAACTTGAATGTAACTGGATGGTGCAAGAGGCCTAACTCTTAGCCTGTCTAGGCGTTCAACCTACCTTGCAACCTATGTTCCTCACTAAATTCATTTAAACATCATTCCTGGCTTTTATTTTCAGACAAAAAAAAAAAAGGCAGATCTTCCTTTTACATGAGCATTTAGAGGCAATTGTAGGATAATTAATTGGCCTAATTTCAGTATTAGAGACTTCAGATACTTGGGAGGCCAAAGGAAGGACTATTAGACACAGCTGGGTGACCGAACAGTAGGGATAGATACAACATTGATAAAGTTATTGTTTAGGTGAGGTTTGTTGTGTCCCAAGACAATTACAATAACATTAATGCATCACCATAGCAGATATGATGATTAAAGTTTAAAATGTAGTAAAATGATCAAAATATAGACTTGAGTGAGCATATGCTGTTTATGAAAGAAAACCAGTGCACATCCCAAAATCATAATTTCTAGAAACCTTCCATTTGTGTGCTTTTCAGCATAATAAAGAAAAGCTCAATAAAACAAGTTATGTTTATATAAAACATGAGTAGTGAAGATCGTATATTGACATAATTATAGGTCTGTAAACCAATAGAACAGAAATAAACACTCCTGTGGTCAGTTGATTTTGTGAAAAGGTATCGGGTGATTCAAAGAGAAAAATGAAGAGTTTTTTTTTTTAGATTTATTTTTATTATTTTTTTATTGGAAAGGCAGATACACAGAGAGGAGAGACAGAGAGGAAGATCTTCCATCCCATGATTCACTCCCCAAGTGAGCGCAACGGCCAATGCTATGCCAATCTGAAGCCAGGAGCCTCTTCCAGGTCTCCCACGCGGGTGCAGGGTCCCAAAGCTTTGGGCCGTCCTCGACTGCTTTCCCAGGCCACAGGCAGGGAGCTGGAAGGGAAGCGGGGCTGCCGGGATAGAACCGGCACCCATATGGGATCCGGGGCGTGCAAGGTGAGGACCTTAACCACTGTGCCACCGCGCCGGGCCCTGAAGAGTCTTTTTTAACAAATGGTGCTAAAATATCATGAGTATCCATGTGTAAAATACTAGGGAAAGAGCTCCTAGAAAATACACTAGAAGGTAATAGGGAAAGGGAAAGTAAATTTTGTATTGCCCTGAGTGGTCAAGCCATGTTCCTCCAAAACATGATGGTGAGACCTGCTCATGCTTCAGCATTTCTAATTGACTGACCTTCTCAAGGGTGCTGTGTAACACAGCATATTCATTTGTCACACAGTCCCCATTCTGGTGCCAACGCTGCATCCCTCTACTGGACTTGAGTTGTCAATGATTGCTCCTGGGCAGTTTCTGACTGCTTATTTGAATCTGTGCTCGACAATGGCCGGCTCCTTAGCTGCAGCTGTTAGGGTCCAGTTTTGTCAATTCCCATGAATGACAGAGTCTTAATGATAATGCAAAAGCAAGCAGAGTTTATTGTGCTAGCATGCTAGGGTCAGACTGATCGTGGGGCACACAGACCAGCCAAGGAGGGGTTGGACCCTGAACTAGCAAAAGGCTAGAGATTATATAGGCCCCTTCAGTCGTTACATGCATCATAGCCCGTGCAAATCACACGGGCTATGACACAGCAATCAGACACATCATCTTTAGGGCTTCCAGGTGCAAACAGTCCACTTCATTTCCAGACACATTATCTTTAAGGCCCCTGGGTCTAGACGGCTCATTCTGTTCACAGCAATCAGACACAGCAATCAGACACATCATCTTTAGGGCTTCCAGGTGCAAACAGTCCACTTCATTTCCAGATACATTATCTTTAAGGCCCCTAGGTCTAGACGGCTCATTCTGTTCCCACATACATTCCTGTTCCTGGGACCGGATGATTGTGCCACTATCCTCCTACACCTGAGTGCATTCTACAGATAAGGCTTGGACAGAGGAACAACATTTATTGCTAAAGTGTTTTCCATGGTCCAGATGCACCCTGACCTAGCAAAGCAGCAGCTTCTTGGCATGAAATGGCCTAACATTGCCTAATGCTAACATTATACTAGCACTCTAGCACAGCACTTGCTCTTTGTGGTCACTGGGGCCTCCTGTGTGTTGTTGCTCTATCTATGGGATCCACCACAAGATGTTCCCAAGGCAAGGCATCTGGCACTCTCAGCTTTAACCTTTGCAGGGCTTTGTTATTTCACCTATCGGAATGTGGACATCTGCAAAGCTGTGAACAATGTTGTGGAAGCTCTGACTATCCAAATTTAATGTCTGAAGAATTGTATGCCTCTGTTCTGCCATGCATTTAGCTCACGAGGAGGAAGAAACAGATTAAGGCTGTGAGTGCACAGACCTCTTGTTGCAGCCACGTTCTTATTTTCAGAATTTAACCAGTGAGAAAAAAATTTGAGGAAAATTGTCTGTAGTAAGTTGGCTGGCTGAGTTCTGTCACAAGGCTTCTCCTAAGATTTGCAATGTAAGCCTTGTCTGTGAACGTTTGCCCTTTAAGTTGTCATTCTGTTAGAGGGAACTGAGCTTTGCAGTCACCAATACAGATTAGTCTCTTCTATATTTGTCCTAGGATTGATGGATGAAAGGAAAGACTGGAAAAGTAGACTTTAATATTTGCAAATTTCTTTAGATGGTAGCAGCTACTGATAATTATGTCAGGGAATCTTTGAGATAACACACATTACAGATTTCTAAATCTTATGAGGAAAAGCTCAGAAAACCTCATATAGAGAAATTCCATTAGGAAAGAGGTCCCTGTTGACAATAAGGTACTAGACTTTTATCATTGCCTGTACCTATAATGCCATGATACACTTAAATAGCAGCATGTTAGACTTGTGATTGGCCCTGAAGGACTGAGCTATTATAATAGTATGGGGGAAAACAGTGGTGGTAGGGTAGAATGGGGAGGGAGGAAGGGCAAGTGGAGGGGGAATCCCTATGCCTCTAAAGCTGTATCATAATACTAAAGAATAAATTGAAATAAAAAGGAAAGAGGTCTCCCTGGTAGGTGTATTACCATACTAAGGTAAGACTTAATGGCCAAATATATTTGACTTGTTCTAAACTAATCTGCCAATAATTTTAAAACTGTTACTTTCCAACTATGTCAAACATGAGAAAATGAATCATTTGAGAAATAGTTTTAGAAATAAAATGTGCAATAGAAAGATAAAGTAATAGTTTGCTTCAAAATTAAATCTGCTTATCAAAAGCAGTTATGGAAAAAGTGAAGATAGTGAGGCAGGCATCAGGCACAGCAGGTTAAGTCACTGCTTTGGACATGTTCACTTTGTGTAAGAGTGTAAGGGATTGAATCTCACCTCCACTTCCAGTCCTAGAAGGTAGCTGATGTGGCTGCCACCCAGTTCTGGCTTCAACCTGTGTTCCAGCTCTGGCTGTTATAGACATTTAGGTAGTGAATTGATATGTGTGAATTACTTCTCATTTGCTGTTGCTCTCTTCACTTTCAATTAAATACAAACTTTTTGAAAACTTAAATTCAAGCCACAGACACAGAATGATGTACCTGACAAACAATAGATAAAATATGTAAAATATACAATAAAGATAAAAGTATAGGACAGGGAAAGTGTATTTTTTTTGTTGTTTTAGTGGTAAGGAAAAGGAATACATACAAGTAGTTAGTAAACACATGAATGACATACAACCTCCTTTAGGAATGAAAAATAAAAACACAGTAATAGACCAATTGCACACTGACTAAAATCCAGAAACTCAGTATAGTAAGTATTACTGAAAAATTGGAGAAACTGGAACCCACCTCCCCCAGGCTTTCACTGATGAAAGTGTAAGATAGTATAACTGCCTAGGAAAACAATTTGACATTTTCTTAGCCAAATGAAGCTTATAATTACCTATTCTATGGTGCCATTGCTATCCAGGAGAGTCTAAAATTTATGATCATACAAAGACTCATAAATGGATATTTGTAGCACTGTTATGTGTAATAAATATTGGAAGCAGTTTACATGTTCATTAGCTGATGAATGTATGAACAAAATTTTAACATATCCATATGATGAAATGCTAGCAATAAGAAGGGGCAAACTGCTGATACATGAAACAACATGAGAGGATTGAAGAATATGCTAGTGAAAAGAAGTTTGATGTAACAGTATATGATTCTGTTAACAAGTTTATGCGAAATTTCTAGAAAAAGCAAAATTGTATAGACATAAAGAGATTTATGGTTGCCAGGGGCTGGAGCTAAGGCAGGAATACACATTGACTGTAGGTGGCCAGTGTGGGAACTTTTGGAGTGATAGATGTTTTATAGTTGAACTATGGTGATATTCTCATACCTCTCAACTTACCTGAAAAAGCATAAAACTATTTACAGTGGGTGAATTTTATACTGTATGAATTATACTTGAGTAACACTAGCTTTTAAAAAGTTCATGTGGTTTTTTAAAAAATGAAAATACATCAAATATTAAGAGTTGTTGCCTGCAGTGTTGGAGTTTTGCAGGTAGTTTTTATTTATAATTTGTGTTTTTCAAATATTTGTAATGAGTATGATTACTCTTGTAATTATAGAGTTTAAAACCATCAAAATTGCCTTTAAGGCTTATTTTGAGGAAAACATTTTTTCCTCAAAAGTAATTTAAATCGGAATTCAAAAGTGACTTTTTTTTTTTAAAGGTCAAGCTAAAGAAGCAAGAATAGGACTACTTTTCATAAGTCTAATTCTACCTGTTTTATACAATTCCATTTTTCTCCTCCTCTAGTGTATGTCTGCATCCTATCAAGAAGCTAAAACTTTGTTGAAAGCCTACCTACAGCAACACGGCTATGGCTCCTGGATTGTGAAATCTCCCTGTATAGAGCAATTTAGTATGTGAATTAAACAATCCCTTGTCATAATAAAAATTTCTATTTTTTGATGTGTGCTGACTAGTAAAAATGTTAAAATATTGGAGGTTTTCACTTTCAAAAAGAGAGTCTCAAGAAAGAAATTGTTGAAAATTTACAAATTAGGATTATAAATAATTCTTGCCAGTTTACATTGAAACATCAGGATTCTTTTTACTTTGAATTTTTTGGAAAATAATTGTCTGATTCAATGTGTAGGCATTTTCCTTTTTCACTGATTATAGAGTATTTACCCTTTTGTAGTTTAAAAAGAAATTTGTTTTCTTGCAAGTTTTTGATTCACTGCTACCCGTATACTATGATAGTGAACATTGCATCATGGTAATTTAAGGTTGTTTATTCTTTGAACTGAAAATCATAATAAAAATAACTGTTAAATAATTCAGCAGGTATTAAAGTGCGTAATATTTGTCAGTCACTGTTTCAGGTGATAGTGTTTAAAAAAAGAAGAAAACATCTTTCATGTCAGAGAAGTTTATGAATGCAAACTACACTTATCATTGCAGAAAAATATTAACATGTTAAGGAATAGTTTGAGAAATTATTCTGGTTAACAGAGGGCTAATATATGTTTTAAGATTGCTTATTTTCAAGTGTCCTATAATAGCTAATAAGTACTTTACAAATAAATAAAAGATTAGGTTCATGTAGTGATTACATGAAAAACTTAAAATTTGAGTTATCCATTGTGGGTTTATCTTATTTTCTTTATTTTATTTGTTCTCTGTGTATGTATCTCTCTCTCTCTCTCTCTCTCTCTCTCTCTCTCTCTATATATATATATATATATATATATATATATATATATAAAATGGTTACTTTTCTTTATTAGAAAGATTTACAGAGAGAAGGAGAGACAAATATCTTCTGTCTGCTGGTTCATTCCCCAAGTGGCCTCAATAGCCGGAGCTGTGCTGATCTGAAGCCAGGAGCCAGGAGTGTCTATTCTAGGTCATCCACATGGGTATCAAGCATTATTGATTTCCTTAGGTTGTCCCTGTCAGGTTTCATCTTCTATGACTCTCATGCTCACTATAACTGAACCATTGGGTCTGGAGTGATGGCCTAGTAGCTAAATTCTTGTCTTGCAAGTGCCAAGATCCCATATGGGCTCCAGTTCATGTCCTGGCTGCTGTACTTCCCATTCATCTCCCTGTTGTAGCCTATGACTCTGCAGCCACATGGGAGACCTAAAAGAAGCTCCTGACTCAGCTCTGGCCATTGTGGTCACTTGAAGAATGAATCAGAAGATGGAAGATCTTTCTATTTCCTCTCTGTAAATCTGCCTTTCCAATAAAAATAAATCTTAAAAATTTGGAGGAATTTGGTGAGCATTGAAGTCATTTCTGGAAAAAAACATATGTCTTTCAGAAATCTAGACTCTATACAAGATAACATTAAGTTGAACTACATGAAATTGCCATTTTTGTAGAAAGAAAATGGACAGTTTGTATGGATCAATATAAATACCAATAAATTCAGTCTCAATTATAATTTATTTCTTCTTGGATATTTTTTCTGAAATATTTTATTGCCTCCCAATAGCAAATTTCCAAATTTTATTTCCATTATTTTACTTTTTCATACTAAATTTATCTTTGAAAATATGTTGTGCTCTTCATATTCAGTAATGTTAATAAAAATAGTAAATTAGGTATTCTATTCTCTGTTGGCACTTAAACAGGAAAAAGCACTAAGTCATTAATACCTATCTCTGAAGGTTCTGCCTAATTAGCAAAATATCCTTCAGCAGCCACTACAATGAAAAATGGTTAGAAGTGTGGTGGGGCTGGGGGGCATTGCTGGTTGGGTGGGTCAGACTGCCAGTCTCAATTCCAGTGTTCACATAAGCTTGCTGGTTTGAGTCTTGGCTGCTCTGCTTCAAATCCAGCTTCCTCCCGATGTGCTTGGGAAAGCAGGGGAAGGCAGTCCAAATACTTGGGTCCCTAATACCCACGTGGGAGACCTAGATGGAGTTTCAAGTTTCTTTTTGGCCTGACAGAGCCCTGCCCACTGTGTGCATTAGGGAAGTATTCAAAGAGACTATAGGGGCTGGCATTATGTGCAATAGCCTTAATCACCACCAGTGATGCCAGCATCCCATTTAAGCACTGGTTCAAGTCTCAGCTTTCCTCCCCACTTTCAGTCTGGCTCCATGTTAATGTCCCTGGGAAAACCAAAAGATGGTCCAAGTGCGTCAGCCCCTGATTCCATGTTGGAAAGCAGATGGAGTTCAGAATCCTAGGGCCCAGCGCAATGGCGCAGTGGTTAAGGTCCTCGCCTTGCATGCCTGGGATCCCATATGGGTGCCGGTTCTAATCCCGGCTGCCGGCTTCCCATCCAGCTCCCTGCCTGTGGCCCGGGAAAGCAGTCGAGGACGGCCCATGGCTTTGGGACCCTGCACCTGCATGGGAGACCCAGAAGAGGCTCCTAGCTTCAGATCAGCATAGCGTTGACCGTTGTGCTCACTTGGGGAGTGAATCATTGGATGGAAGATCTTCCTCTGTCTCTCTGTATATCCGCCTTTCCAATAAAAATAAAATAAATCTTTAAAAAAAAAAAAAGAATCCTGGCCCAATCCTAGCCATTGTGGCCATTTGTAAGGTGAGCCAGTGACTGGATGATGTCTCTTCAACTCATTCATTCTGTCACTCTGCCTTTTAAATAGATAAATCTTTAAAAATATTTTATACGAAACTAAAGAGATGTCATCTAGCAGAAGATAGTTGCTACAAGATTCATAAGATAAATATACAGCCTAACATTTGCCTCTATGATTGTGGCTATTGTAAATTGTTTAATTGCTCTCAGCTCAATTCTTTATCTCTCACAAGGATGAAATTGATACTACTGGGTTTTGTCTGGGGATGGAGGATTGATGGGAATAACTCTAGGCTCCCTTTCATCAAAAGCATCTATACATTTTAATCACTTTTTGTGTATTTTGTATTGACAAAATTGGTTTTAAAGCAAACTTCTGAATTCAGGCTTCTATATCTTCACTTTTAAACATCACTGAACTAGTTACATATACTACTTTTAATATCTAAAGTTTTGTTTTGTGAAACAGGCACTGAAGGATGGGTAAACTTGGGAGGATTAATTGAGAGGTTTCATTCCATTTGGAAATAAAGAAAAATTAGACACATTGTGATATTTAGGGCTACTGTGTATAATGCTAGAAAAACTGAAAGTCAAATCTAGCAGATATTCTCATTTTGAGAAAGAGAAAGGAGCCCTCCAAGAAGTTTGTGTAGGTAAATGATGTATTAAAATACCATCCTGGCTCACCTGTCTCCACCTCCTGTGATACCATGATGAGGCTGTACTGTTGTCCACTTCTGGTTGGAGCAGTTCCCACGATTAGGGAGACACCAGGTGTCCTAAATAGCTAGGTTATTGGTGGTGCTGATCTTGCCAGAACCTTTTGGCCATTAGATCTGGGTGCCACATGGAGCTATTTTGACCCATATGATGCCAAAGTCGGAATTTTCTCTCTGGGACCGGTGCAATCCACTGAGCTCAGTGAGTTTGCTGCCAGTTCAGCACATGTACAGCTCCCTACTATCACTACAGTCTTAACCTCTTTGCCACACTGTAAGAAATGGCACCTGATGTGCCACAACTAGAGTTCTTGATATGCTGGCCGTCAGGTCTGAGGGCTACTCATCAGATCTGAGGGCTACTGGGACCTATAATGGGTGGAACCTGTAGGATGCCATGTTGTTGCGATTCACTGAGCCAGAAATGAGTTCACTCCCAGGTTAGTGCATGCTCAGTCCTGACCCATAGCCTTTGTCTGTAGACAATATGGCACCCAATGCAGTTCTAGGGGGCAGACAGGACTGAAAAATCCACCATGTTCCCACACCACCTGTCTGTGACGTGCTGCTCTGTCTCTGCTCCTGGTCAAATCAAATTAGACCAGCAGGATGGGCAGGGGTTTTTTTGTCTGTGTTCACCTCCTGTGCTCCCAGCGAGTGCCCTTTCCCACTTTGTTGCTGGTGGAGTTCTGGTTGCCAGTGCAGTGCACATATGGCACTCATTGACTGCTGCTGGGGTATTGGTCACTGCAATACCACACTGTTGTGTCCGCTGCTTTCCCATGTTTGTCAGTCTCCAGGTGCCGCTCTGCTGTTACTTTGTCCTCCTATTTCCTGGAATGTGCCCTATCTTCTTCACACTGGCTAATGTTTCTGCATCTGCTAAAACGTGTCCTTATTGTATTCCGCCATCTTGATTGTCTCCTTTGTTTATTTAAAAAATTTTTATTGGAAAGGCAAATTTACAGAGAAAAGGAGAGACACAGATTTTCAATCTGCTGGTTCATTCCCCAACTGACTACAACAGCCTGAGCTGATTCAAAGCTGGGAGCTAGGCACTTCTTCCAGAGCTCCGTCATGGATAGCAGGACCCGAGAACCTGAACAATCTGCTGCTGCTTTCACAGACCATAAGCAGGGAGCTGGATTGAGAGTAGATCAGCCAGGATCAGAACCAGTGCCCATACAGGATACTGGTTCTGCAAAGTGAGCATTAGCCTGTTGAGTCACCTTGCTGGCCCCACATACAACGTTTTAAGCTTACATTGTTATTAAATGTTTAATGAGTCTCTGGATCTCTATCATAAAATAAACTTTAAAAAATTTTTAAAAAGAGGTGAAGCAGCCAGGACACAAATATACTCTTATGGAATGCTGGTCCTAGCAAGTGGAGGATTAGCCCACAGTGCCACTCCACGGGCCCCCATATTCCCTGTTTTTTCCTTTTTTATGGATTTATTAATTTTTACTGGAAAAACAGATTTAGAGAAAAAAGTGACAGAAGGTCTTTTCATCAGCTGGGTCAGTCCCCAAATGGCTGCAATGGCCAGAGTTGATCCAATTCAAAGCCAAGAGCCTCTTCCTGGTCTCCTGTATGAGTGTGAATCCCAAGGCTCTGGGGCCATTTTTTGCTGCTTCAGCACTTATATGGGATGCCAGTGCTTTAAGGTGGAGGATTAACCATTT